GTCAAACGCTGAAGTTAAGTCCAGTAAAACCAGTACAGTGTAGTTTCCAGAGTCAGCTGCCATCAACAAGTCACTTGAAACCTTTAACAAAGCTGTTTCTGTGGAGTGCAATTTGCGAAATCCAGACTGAAAAATGTCCATAATGTCATTTTCCTCCAAAAAGCAAATCAATTGTTCAGCTACCACCTTCTCCAGGATTTTTGATAAAAATGGTAGTTTGGAGATCGGTCTGTAGCTTTCAGGCAGAGAAGTGTCTAAATTAGGCTTTTTTAACAGAGGACAGACAACAGCTGTTTTGAAGCAGTGGGGTACAGAACCAGAACCAAGGGAGTAATTCATCAGTTTTACAACACTTGGGCCAATACAATTCAAAATATCTTTAAAAAGAGAAGAGGGCAGGACATCAAGGTAGCTAGAGGGCATTTTCATTCGACCCAACAGCTCTGTGATGTCCTGAATTGTCACTGGGGTGAATGAGGACCATGTATCAGAGGTCACAGGAGGAGGGACCAGACAGAGGGATGCTGAGGGAGAGATACAGGCCCTGATGCCAGCAACTTTGTCAATAAAATAATTTAAAAAACGATTGCAATCTGCATTTGTAAAAGCACTTAGAGTAGAAAAAGTAGGTGAAACAATGTTCTTGATTGTGTCAAATAAAAGTTTTGGATTTCTTCCTTTGGAAATGATGAGATTTGCAAAATAACTGGTCCAGGCAGTTTTGAGCATCTCATTTAAGGAGCTGATCAGTTCTTTAAGATAGAGCCTGTGAACCTCCAGCCTGGTTCTTTTCCACTAACGCTCAGTCTTACGGCAAACTCTCCTCATGCAAAGGATTTCCTTATTAATCCAAGGACAGTTGGTGCGCTGCACAGTGCTCTGTTTTACAGGTGCTATAGTGTCTAAAATATTTATACAATGAGCATTAAAACATGAAACATATGAGTCCACATTAATGATGTTATAATCTAAAGAGGCAGAATCAAAAAGTGAAGCAAAGGCTTCAGAAGTGTGCTCATTTATGATCTGCCTTTGGATCATAAGTTTAGGAGGAGCTGGATCAGGACTAAAAGACACATTAAAATATATACAATTATGATCACTAAAAAATACATCCTCCACACAAACATCCTCTTAATTAAGGCCTAAGGAGAAAACAAGGTCCAATGTATGGCCTTTTTTATGAGTAGGCACACACACATGCTGAGTAAAATGAAATGAGTCCGTGATGGAGATCAAGTCAGCAGCTGCCTTACAGGAAACATCATCAATATGTAGATTAAAATCACCCAATATTAAAACATTCTCCAGCTTAATGATGGAAGACAGAAGCTCAGTAAATTCAGATAAAAACACACTGGCTGCACCTGGAGGACAGTAAATTAAAATACAGTAAAAAGTATTCAAAGAGCCAACTTTGATTATTTGAAGTTCAAATGCAGAGAATGTGGCTGAATTAACAAGTCTGCAGGAGTAACCATCTTTAAACACGGCCGCTAATCCACCGCCTCTGTACGCTTCCCGAGGTGTTGCGAGGACAGAAAAGTTACCTGGACAGAGTTCCCGCAGATGAATATACTCCAGTTTTTGCTGCCATGTTTCAGTTAAAAACARAARGTCCAGGGACTCCTTCATAACAAGTTCATTYAASGCAAAAGACTTGTTGTTGATGGAGCGCGCGTTGAGGAGGCCCATGCGCAGCAATGACAGCTCCGCAGCTCTCACATCAGCTGATAGCGGCACGTAGGTTAAACAGCGCACATCAGATGGATGATTTTGACGAGTAGATCTCGGGTGAATAATATGACGACATCCATCGTTGCAAGTTAGCTGATTTATGGTGGTTAACGGGCAGGTGGTGGTCTGTGCTGGCCAGGCTTCAGGTGACGTGTCAGACTCCCAGCTGGATGACGCAGGTAGACGCCGAAGACAGCGAGAAACTCCCCACTTCCCAGCGAGTCTACGGTACAGTCTTAAACGCACCTGCACGCCAGCTCTGGATCCCCTTTTTCGCTTTTTGCGTCTGGAACTTTGCAGGAGACACTCAGGTGAGCAGCAAACAAATGGAGGTGGAAAACTCCCTCTGAAGCACTTAAACTTAAACCTGAACTTAAACTTAAACCATTGGATTAAGCTTGTTTTGCACAAAAAAACTGTCTTCAGTTCATATGAAACCACCACAAAGAACACTGAATTTACATGAATGTGCTTTTTGTGTTTATCCATTCATATTATGTATTTCACACTAATAAGTTAGGGTTGAACTGCAACAGATTTGTGCACAAATAATGTCAGACATCGGGTCTCCGATGCATTGTAGACTCCAGTGGGAAGAACCCCCCGGGACATATACCGCAGCGGGAGGGGTTTCCCAGGAGTTTGGCACAGTAGCCGTGTTTCCATCAGTTTTTAAATACGTCTGATTGACGTTTTTTCTTTTTTTCTTTTTTGCGAAATAAAAAAATGTTTAAAGTTCGAATTAAAACTGGATGGAAACACAGCTAGTGTGTCTCAAGGGGCTATGTAAGGTGTGTGCAAAAATGAATGCAGAACAACTACGTAACCGTGCGTCGTCTGCCGATCGACCATGCTGAGCCCTAAACTGTTTTATTGACAACCAAGTGGAAGGAACATCTACAGGTGCTGGTCATAAAATTAGAATATCATGAAAAAGTAGATTTATTTCAGTAATTCCATTTAAAAAGTGAAACTTGTATATTATATTCATACATTACATACAAACTCATATATTTCAAATG